ACTTTAGTCATTACAGCAGCATTCCATTTTGTGGTATATTTACCCATATTCTATATGATAGCAACTCCTTATATGTATTTTATTTGTACAAAAGTTAACTCTACCAAAAAATAGGCCCTTTTCCATGTGTAGCATAGTCAGTGCTCAGGATAGCAGAATTGTAATTACAGAATCAAACTGTGATCAGACCGCGATCTCAACTAGAGGAACCCATGACCACATGTCAGAGCAGGGAAGATGGCTGCATTTGTGTTCATCACCCGATGCAGATTTAGCGAACGGAAGTAAAATTTTGTCGAACTTCCTGTTCGCGAACCGAATTTTTCATGAACAGAAGCGTTCATGAACCGAGGTGCCACTGTATATCATTCAACTAATATGATGCTGCTAGGGAATTTTATGTGTAGTCACATACATCCAAGAATACTGCACAAACTGCTGCAGAACTAACCTACCACTGATAGTAAAGATAGAAATGGGTAATAATTTTTTGAATTCCAAAAGATGAATACACTTCTTATAGGTATATATGTTTTTTTTTAGATAGTATTGCATATGGGTATTTTGCATTTCTCATCTGCAGTCGGGCAGTGAAGATATTGAGTATTTTCCATTCCTGGGTAATTTTCAAAAATTGTTGTAATTTGGTCTGCAATTCAAAATATACACAAAACTGAATGAGTCAGATAGCTCCCCTCCTTCTCCCTGCTCATAGTGCTGCATATAACATTAAAATAAAACCAAAAAGTAAATATTTGTGGCAATTAAATATAAGAGAATGTTTAAATCTCGGCCAGGTCACTATCTGCAAGGAGTTTGCATATTCTCCCCGTGCTTGCATGGGTTTCCTCCAGGTACTGCAATTTACTCCCACACTCCAAAGACATACTGGTAGGTTAATTAACTAATTGGCTCCTCTCTAAAGGTGCCCATACACTGCTCGATTCTCGTACAAGAATCGCGGGAAATCCCACGATCGTACGAGAATCGAGCAGTGTGAACGAAGACGTGCAACTATTTCTACTGTACGGTCGCACGTCTTTTGTCTAAGGAGCACGCTAGAAAACCAGCCGAAAATCGTATGATTTTCGGCTGGTTTGAACGGTGCTCGGGAGACAAATGCCGAACGGGCCGGTGTGCGCACGCGCACACTGCCCATTCAGCATTGCGGTCATTGGAAGCCCGCCCCTCAGGGGGGCGGGCTTGCGATGATCGAGAGTACGATCTGCCTGTCCAAGATGGGCAGATCGTACGTTTTTTTAATCACTTTACAACCATCACAAGACTAAGGTCTTGCGATGGTTGTACAGTGTATTGCCACCTTAAGTTGGCCCTCTATGTATGCATGTGAGATAGGGACCTTAGCTTATAAACCCCTCGAGGGTAGGGACTAATGTAAATGTGCAACAATTGTCAGTGCTGTATAAATACCTGTAATAAATAAATAATAATAATAAATGTGTGTACGGTGGTGTGTAGAATAGTTCACTCTTTAAAGCAAACCTGTAACCACAGCAGGTAGATAAGCTGTTAGTCACCTCAGAGCTGGCCAGAGCATCCTGCAGGTTTTTTACTTCCTGGATTGGGGATCGAGCCAACCCCAATCCCCACCCCACACTACAATACCTACATGATACATGAACTACTAATCAGCAGGCCCAGGCATGGTCAGTGGGGGCGGGCTGTGCCTATTCATATGTAAATACCAACCTTCAGAGAACAGGTTGCTATTTGTATGTCAATGTCAGGAGACTCTTCCAAACTCTGAGATGAGACTTTCTGCAGCAACAGCAATGTGTTCACAGGTTATATGATTAGATACCTGCTGCTACTGTTGATAGCTTTTTTTATTTTGATTTAGCCACAGGTTTACTTTAATAGCAATACTGCTGGAAGTGTTATGACTCACAGAGCTATTCTGGCATTAATTCTTGCCATTGTCCATCATTCATTTATAATGTTCTGCTCACCTTGTCTTGCAGCTTTAATGTTGACAGCCTGGAACCCGCCATTTAGTGCAGATGTGTCAATGATGTCAGACTCAAAACCGCGATGGTTCTTCCGATAGACGAACAAAGCAATGATGACTGAGATGGCCAGGCACACGATGACAGCAATGACAATTCCAACATACAGGGCTACGTTGTCTGAGCTTGGAGCAGCTAAAAAGATATAGCAGAATGTCTACGAGTTACAGGAAGAAGAGTATTTATACTTTCCAATAAAACGTGAGAACCACACTTTCACCTAAACAACACAATACTATTTAATTGCTAGCTTATTTCAAAGATTACACCATTACTATTAAATATACAGTAGTGTAGTATTGTCCAAACTGAAAGTATAGCTCCATTTTTTCCACTCACTTAAGTATTTATATAAATATTACATATTTATATAATTTACAGATAATTAATAGATTATAATGGAAGCTCATGTTTGATGTACTTATTTTGGAAGAGTCACTTAGGGCACCATGCTAGCGAAAAGCCTAAGATAACCTCATTTTTAACAAAGTTTCACATATACTTACCTTATCAATTCTGACATTTTCCTAAACTGAACTTCTATAATGCAATAATACTAACTGAAATAAATGTAGGATGATATAATTCACTTGAAGATGTGATCACAGTAAAAATGGTGTGTGAAACAGATAACTAATAATAGCAACAATTCTCCACTGGTTATAAACCATACTTTAGTCTCTGGTATCTGTTAGGATTTGTCTACATTAATTATTATGATCCTGGATACAAAATGGCCATGGTGGGCACCAAAATTAGCTTTTTTGTCATAAGAAATGTTGAAACCTCTATTAAAAAACACTTTGGTAGACACAATTTTCAGGCAATGTCAACCATGTTTAATCAGGTTCCATTCACACAAACAGCAATGCAAGCTACTACAAACAATTTCTATTTATAACGTTGGTGGGCTGGCTGTTTCAATCTCTTTAGCTGCTATTCCAAGCTGGTTGAACATGACTAAAAGCTATGTGTGGCTAGCATTTTGTCCGTTTGGGGTTTCAGAAGCCTTACAGAGTTAAATATTAGTAGAATGTATACAGAATTTTGGAGCTGTGTGGTAATTTCTCCTCTTCTTCCATATGGTGTCACTGTCAATGGTGGAATAGGATATAATACAGCATGGCTCTGGCTGACTCCCAATTAGGAAAGCAGATATTTTTCTAGATGTCTTGCATTGGAGATAAGCTGATTTGCATATTCAAGGCCTTCTAGCACCACAATCTTAGAGATCTAAGCTACAAATCTAAACAGCTTTGCTGTTAAAAAAACATGCATAATTGTTTTTAACTCTACCTAGATGATGGCAGCTTCATCCACACATAAAAAGCAATATTCAGTTACACAACAAGTGTAATTTGTGTGTATTTAGGCAGATTTATGAAACAAGGATCAAAGGGATCTTTGCACAGCTTGTTTCGAGTTGCTACAGATTTGATAATAAAAGATTAGACTTGGTTGCTATAGGCAACCAACCTACTTTTTCTTTGAACCTGGTTTCATTAAAAAGGTTATTTGATTTGCAGATATAATTTTAATTATAATTTAAAAAAAAACATAGGGGTCTATTCATTATGCTGCAGTAGGCAGCCGAGTGAATGACCGACCTAAAGCAAAGTGAGCCGAAAGCTATTCGGCTATTCACTTCAGGCTGGTACGTCTGATTTCAGCCGTATATCGGCTGAAATCAGCCGTACATCCGGTGGCTTTGGGTCGGCCGAACATGATCAGCATCTTCGGCCGACCCGAAGTGCAGAAGGAGTTTGACTTAGCCGATCCACCATCTGGATCGGCTAAGCCGAACCTCGGGCAGGCTACTCGCTGCTGTTCGGTCTATTCTTATAGATGCCGAACAGCAGTGAGTGAATAGCCGCATGCCGCTGACCGGCATTCGGCTCGGCTGTTCTGCTAGGTCCCTCTGTGGTACCGAGCAGAACAGAAAAAATAGTTTAAAAAGTAGAAAAAAATAAATAGAAAATGATTGGGCAGAGCTAGCAGTGACAGCTAGCTCTGCCCAACTGTTTTATTTTGGCCGGCGGTTCTGCTGCCGTCAGAAAAAAAGAAGAAAAAAAACTCTCCTGGGCGCGCCGGGAGTCTCCCGATCCCGGCCGCCAAGGAGAGAAACACTGCTTTTCGGAGCCGTGTCAGAATAGAAAAAAAAAAACTTTCAGCGCGGCTAAGCCGAGCCGAGGCATATGCCTTCGGCTCGACTGAGCCGCTCGGCCAAGTTCGGGAGCTGTACGGGCTATAGTGAATAGTCCGTACAGCAGCCCTTCGGTTCTAAGCTAGCCGAAGCTACGACTAGATCCTTCGGTTGCTTTGTGAATAGACCCCATAATTTTGATATCAGCATACACAGTCAGGCATAACTATGCCCAGAATCTTACAAATCAACAGTTTTAAAAATCGGACTCTGCTAAGAATACAGCATAACTTTGCCCGATCTATCTCAAAGCATGGCTCAAAGAATCATAAATGTGAGCAATAATTTTGAAGAGGATAAAAACATATGACACAAGTAGCACTAATGAATGCATTGTGCAATAGGGAACAAGAGTAGATGGCCAGTGCTTAGTGAAAGGCATTTCAATAGCATTTATGGCTATTTTATGGTCATCCCTTGGAGAATTTTATGAGAGGGCTCTTACCTCGCTCAACATTATAGCTTGCATTTGAAAGACGAAAAAAAGAAATGACAAAAGAAAAATGGTGCTTTTGAATGGGTTTTGTGGAGGCCCTTGCTCACAGTGACAAACGCTCTCCATTGAAACCAGTCGATAACAGGTAAACGTCAGTCAATGTTAAAAACTAAAACAAGCCATACATGGCTAGATTTCTAGAATCAGAATCACTGGATCCCCCATACATGCTGAACAGTGTGAATGGAGGAATCTCCCCTACCCAACTATCGCATTCAGACAGCCAGGACTCACAGCTGTCTGAATACCTGGAAAGTGCCTGCATCTGAATGGATACAGTCACTTAAGCCACCAGTTTTCCACCCTGCTTCTTTGTTTTTTCAATCTGTTTGTTGAACCAGGTGGTGCCATCCATGGCTCAAAGTTAGGCTAGAATTTAAACTATCTATCCCTACACAAAGCCTTGAGATGCATAAAGGGAGCACAGCGTATTTCCTTGGAACATCTGTTTTTCATCAGGACATTGTTATAATGTGCCAAACCCCTCAGTCTCTTTTCTTGATAATCTGTTGATCTGAGAACACCTGCTAGTGATGCGGGGGAGCTATTCTCAAACATACCCTCTGCAAGTTTCTTCCTGGCTCCCCTATAAAGACAACTAATGTAAAAATTCAGTACTATAATATTTCTTCCTGCCACCAATCAGATTCAAACCAGGTGTGAAAGTTTGAATGTTACTGGTGATACAGGAAGCAGAAAGAGTTACAAATAATTAACTTCAGGAAGTACGTTCCCATTGATTCTGTGAGATTTGTTCTGAAATCTAGCCTCACAGCTCAGATTAAGGTGAGGAAGAAACTTTCTGATTTTAGTACACTTGTTGGTTTGCTGGACAACATTTGTAGCTCACCTATTGATGTCACATGTTGCCTAGAATTGCCCTTAAAACCTGTAGCATCATTCCTTATGCCTTTTTTTTGTTCTTAGAAAAACTTTACCAGTCAATGTGGAATGATAAGTGTATGCAATGACCCTAAAGACAGTCTTGCTCAATTTGCCTAATTATATTACACACACTACAATTGGGGCATGAGTCACTTCTGCCTTGCCTAGACTCACCATCTTTCTTTTTATCTATGTTTCCATCTTAGATAAAATCTGGTCGATCTGACACAGGGACAAAATCTCAGGTGTTTGAGTCTTCCATTATATATGATACATTTGGTAATGGTAAAATATCTTTACATTACTGTGTCAGTTTCTAGAGATCGTTATGGAGGACCTCCAACCTTAGTAACAGCATAACTTTTCAGTTATCACTAAATCTGTGATATACTTTGATTGAAGAACATCTCTGTTCAGAAAGCTGTATTACTTTCACTGCCTTTTATCTTACCCTACATACATGCATGGCCTCTTGCTAAGGTGCTGACTTTTTTAGTGTGTGTAGGAAGGTTTTCTTGATATTCGGGTTTTTGTGCCTACAAGGCCTTCCTATGCACAGCTTACAAGATTAAAATGATCTGATCAGAGGCAGAAAGCAGAAACATATACCAATAGTTCAGGACTTTTTTTGGTGCCTTTGTGGATTTTTTCCTTGCCAGCAACTAATTCACAATATAACACAAAAAAACTTGAATGCTTGTTTCACTTAACAGACATGTCCCTTCACATCTCAAAGTCAGTTTCATAGCACTATATACAGATCCGTTCGTTTTTTTACTTGTTGAAAGCTAAGACAAACAGCTTGAAGCTTTAGAGTTTTCTTTCTGTACTTAACATATTCTGTGTTTACAGAAATGCTTAGAAATTCTACTTTATGTGGAGAACATACCCTGTGGTCTTGCAGGTTGGGGTTGAGTATCATTCTGTTAAAAACCTGCGAGCAGTTCTATAGTTTAAAGCTTTATAGTCCTTTATAACAACTGCAGCTATTGGTTAAAAATAGATCCCTAATACTATACATTATATTGTATTTCCACTGTCTACAGTACTGTGCGGGGTTTGCTACATCTCCACACAAGTCTTCTTAATATTGGACATTCTCTCACTCTCTCTTTATTTTCTCTCAACACTTGTAGTGGTAAGGACAGCTATTACACATTTGAATCAGGAAGAGCCATTATATGCAGGTCAGTTGAAGTGTTGGCACCCACAATCACTTTTGCAGACTTCACAGTATGATTTTGAAATATGAATGCTGTGTTCACAGTTGGTTGTCCACTTGTTAAAAACTGGATAGACACTGTAGCATTTACCATTCGGAATGTAAACTTTTATACCCTAAAGGTAGAAGTACATCCACAGTCAGCCATGGCCATTTTGGATAAAGTAGTGTACTGAAGCTAAATTGTGAAAGAAAGGAGTATTGCTGATACTTACGAATGGAAAAACACATATTGCTGGTTTACAACCAATTGGAGTTTGCAGCAGAGGTAGAGGATAAAGGCTTGTAAATGCAAATGAGAATGTTTCAGCTACAAATTCCATTTACAGGGTGTTGAATGAGTAATGAATGTGTTCAGCAGGTAGCAAGTGTAAATTCTCAAGGGATCAATGGTAAATGGACCTAATATTCAGTAATATTAATGGCAAACTTTAATGGCAAACATTAACACTGAAAAAAGGCTGGCAGTCGTAAAACTTGCCATAATATAAATGTGGTCCATGTCACTAAAACTTATATGTCTTACCTAATAATGGAAATTTTGCTGTTTAGCAATTGACAGCAAAACTGACTTGATCTGGTAAATTACCATGTGGTAAATGCTCTAATAAATTATCTGACCTGGTTCTAGCAACACATGATCAGCAAACTAACTATTTAATACTTTATACATACAGTATGTCCTTAAGACTCGTGACCTTCAAAAAGCTTACCCATTTTACTTTTGGGGGTAAGACATTAAATAGCATTGAAAACTAACAAAACACAATCACAGCTTTTTTATAGTCCCACCACCACTGCTATAACAATTGAGCAGTGTGTCTAAATGAGTTTCACTGTGTTCCCAGTGCACTCAAAAATCTTAAAAACCTAGTTAGATATTATCTTCAACTATACAAGTCTGTGTGAGGATGCTTGTGATGTGGGTTTGGCTATGCCAGCAGGGACACCAGAAGGTAGGGCAAAAATATAGGGAATACCCTACAAAAAAGGTATTTAAGGCATTTCCAAACAAACATTGGTTAAAAAATCATAACACACTAGAAAAAGGCAGTAAAAAGAAAAGGAAAAGTTGTGAGACTCCAATTGGGCTTTAAAAGCAAATACTAAAAACAATGTATTAGAGAGCAGTTCTGTTGTTTTTCAGCATAATATAAGAGTATTTTACTAGGTGAAGACACACAGTATAACTGAACTTTAGTTAGGCAGAGAACACCAACAGAGAAATAAAACTTATTTCAAGAACATAAAACCAAAATTAAAAAATAACAACTTACAAGGATTTCCAATTTCTTTCTCTGTTTTCTGCTCATGAGTTCTGGGTGAAAGAGGGTAAATTGGGCCTTAAAACGAAAACAAACGGAAGAAAAAAAAAAGAAAAAGAAAGAAGGAAACACAAAATCAAATAAATGAAATGAACAAATGTAAAATAATAAAAATAATCACGGGAATAAATATATAATTTAAAGGAAGCAGGGATAAGAGTTTGCACGTACAGACATTTTGCAAGCTTAATTCCACACTGGTAGCGGCTGTTTCTCTACAGTTATTAAGCAAGCAGAATTAAGTGAAAAGCTCTTTTTTCCAAACCCACTCACTGTGGAAAGTTTAAATACTTTCTTCTGTGGAACATAGGCATTAATGGATTTATTTTATTCAGGGCATCAAAGGTCATTTGATTATAGAAAAAAAAAATCTCTTGTTTATGCATGCCACATGCCTGAGTGGTAAAAAAATGTGTTCAGCTGCGCTATGTATACCTGTAATAAATAAATGTAGATAGAGTTTTGGTTGAATACCATTTGAGAAAGTGTCCTAAGGCTTTGTTTATTGGCTCTTGCTGTAGTTAATCTATTGGGAATTTTGTGAGCACAGTCACCCATATGAAAACATGATAATCCTTATGATGCTGGTATACCAGCTATGATGCATTCAGTTATAATAAAAATAAAGCACACTAAGCAGAGTCATCTGTGCAGGTTTCAAGTAATATGTCAAAGTAGAATGGATATGTCTTTTCAGTACAGTGATACCTTGGTTTAAGAGCATAATTCGTTCCGGAAGCATGCTTGTAAGCTCGTCTTGCGGAACACTCGCAAACCAAGTTACTCGTAAACTGAGGTATTACTGTACTTTGATCTGCCTCAAGTTGTTAGAAATATCAGCGTGTGGTTTGGAAAGGCCTCTGCAATCTGAGTGGTCTCATATGGATTGTCTATGTGGGCACCTTGACAAAAGTCATGTTGACTCGAGTAATTTAGAAGCAAAGCAAAACATTAACTACCAAATAAAAGCACAATTCTGTTGCTCTTTTTAGGAGAATTGAGCTTTCCCTGAAGTAATTTACAATATGATGGCACAGGTGTAGGATATCTAAAAATCTTATGGGCCATCTCACATTTAAATACAAGTATGTCATTTTTATTGTTTCAGATTCTTGATACTTCCTGTTTGTGATGCAACCATCATTAATTGCCTATATGTCTTCACTCTATATAAGGCTCACAAGTATATTCTGGCCAAAAAAAACAAGCTACTTATGGCACCTGGCATGTAAGGAGGTAAAATATTAGCACATGTATAGTCAAGAAATCTTCACTCATTCACTCTTTCAGATGCACCAGCTATTTTGGATAACATATTTTTCTGGGCTAGATATTGAGCTGTGAGTTGCTTTCTGGGCCAAAACTTTTACCTCAAATTAAAGTGGCAAATTGGGCAAAGCTTTAACACCCAAGCCGTAAGATATAGTACATTTGGCATTAGCAATCACTGTGGCAGTCATCTCTTTGACCATTGTGGTAGTCATCTGAAATTTGGGCACTTCATGTATGCAAATAGTGGCAGTCAATAAAAAAGTGGGCAGATGGAAAAATTGTTAAAGATTGTGTACAGACAGAAAATATCACAAACTGTTTAGCACACTTGGGGACTCGTATATAAAATAGAGTAGATATTGTTCTCCACTATAAACCTCTAAGTTAGTCCATACCATGACCTATATTTTGTGACCCATTTACAGAGGCAGGACACTGTGAGGAGCGTGCGGTAAAGCTGGGTACACATGGATCAAATTTTGATTCATGGGTAGTTCCTCAACAGAAGTCAATGGTTAGATTGACATTTGTTGATGGGGCAAGTTGGGAAATTGGTGGGAAAACAAATCAGCTGCAAGCACTATTCGGGAATTCTCCTCCGATCACTGGACCCAGAAGTGATGTGCATTAAGTGATGTAATGCACATTAATAATTAATGTGCAATACATCACTTCCAGTGTCACTGGGCACATTCTCTGGCTTCTAGAGCCAGAAGAATAAGCTGATGGAGCAGATCTCTGCTTCATCAGCTTCTTTGAGGTCCCTAGGTGACATTAGGGGTCTGTAAGACCCCTGATGCCTCCATAAAGAGGACCTGTAAGCACTATATTTGCTATTACATAGGGGGCTTGTTATCCCCCTATGCAATAGCAATAAAGCTGAGTGTAAAAAAAACGTAAAAATTAAAGTAACATACTAAATGAATGAAAAATGCAAAAAAAAACATATAATGCAAACACGCGTCGAAAGCGCCTAGGTGCAAAAACAAAAACTGCACCACACATGTTACATATCGTCACGAGCGTTGGAGTGAGAGCAATAATTCTTGGCCTATCAATCACTGGTAACAATAAACTGATGAGCGGTAAAAGCTTTTAAAGCGTCGCCTATGGGAAAATTTGGTTATTGTAGTTTTTTTGCGGTTTCACGGACGCACACAATTTTAAGGCTTGACATGTTTGGTATCTATTTACCTGATGTGACCCTGTCTCTTATATTTTACCAAACAATTGGGTATTCTATTCTGTTTCTGTGCACTAAATTTCATTTTAGTGTATTTTATCCTAAAATACTTGTTTGATAAACATTTGCGCAAATACCGTGCAACATAAAAAATTGCAACTAGCATCTTTTTATTCTACAGGGCCTCTGCTTTCAGAACATATATAATGTTTTGGGGTCTGAAGCTTTTTTCTAGCCAAAAATTCAGATTATATCATGTGTGTGCAAATGTAAGAGATTGCTGCGGCAGCAAGTGGTTAAAGTAATATTATTGTCAAAAGCTACTTACAATACTAATTAAATTAGTTGCAATAGATGCTTCTCCTTGATGCTTAAAAATGTTAGTTTCCAGCAGAATCAGCTGGTCTCCTGAGCACTAGCCCTGATATCCTGTTTAAATGCAGCTCCTTTCCCTTGCAGGGTCCTATGGAGCCACCATTGTGTATGCTGGTAAGTTGTGTGTGTCTCCACAAACAAACAGATACACAACAGCAAGCCATTCCTCTGCTCGGCACTCCTCCCTTCTCCAAGCTGGTAGAGTGACCACTGCTGAAGACTGCTCTGTCCCTTGTGATCTTGTACTGGACAGGAAGTTCAGGGAAGTGGAACTGAGAGAGTTGGAGCCAGCTGTTTGGAAACATGATGACTGTAAGTGTTTGGACAAACATTTAAAGAAATACTTTTTTGGGCAATATATAATTGTTTGATCTGGAGTAATTATTGAAACGTTGAAAGTTTAATACTACTTCAAGTCAAGGAGTAAATGCAGTAGAGAGAACTCCATAATTGGAGGAGAGATTGTTCACATAACGCTGGCAAGTCATGTGACCAGTTTCTCCTCCCATTTTTGTTTTTTTTTGTTTTCTAATTCAGTTTTATAGCATTCTGCTGGTTTTGGAATCCAAAAGCAAGGGGATTGCAAAGCACATTTGTAAAACACATCTTCAAAAGTGTTTTTTTTAAGCATTTACAATTAGCACACAGTAAGTGTTTTCTTTCACTTTGTATCCTGATTTAGAAAGATGACAGCTAAAATCCTGAATTTTAAGTACCTTGCTCTCAATTCTATATTTATCCAAAGATACACTTAAACATACAAAATATCTGTATCTATCAGTGCTCAGTGACACAAGTGCAAAAAAAAAAGTCCTATCTAGTTTTCAGTTTGATCCCAAGGTCCACCTGAAAATCATTTTAAAATATTAAGATGATGTTTCATGAACAGAAGTAGAGCTCATTACTAGATAATCGTAACAGATATATCCGTTCATCTCAGCTTAGGGCTAACCGTGATTATACCGTTATTAAAGGTGCCGGAGTCTTTACTGCCGTTGTAAAAATATATGTTTAATCATCAAAGCAGCGCATGTGGTGTGCACATCCATAATTAATCCCCGCATAATAATTACATGATAATTAAGACAGGCAAGTGCCTTAATCACACACAGTAACAAAAAGGATCACAATCATCTAACCAGGAGAGTATTGAGATTCATGACAATTCCTTTGTGTTCTTTTTATCAAATTCATGAACTAGCATGGACAAGGTTGTCAGTCTTGAGACTAGCAGAAATATGACAAACTAACAGCGAATTAATTCATGCTAATTATATAAAAAAGTAGCAGCTGGCCTTCCTGTGAAAACGAAGTTAGGGATAATGTTGCCACACCGCATTCCAGCAGCAGGTAATAGGGATTTACTTTGTGCGCTATACTCATCAGAATATCACAGTGTATAAAAAAAACAGACTTATGTAATTTGATAGGCAAAGTGCAGAAATTTTAACATTGTACATTACTGTATTACTAAACCGTGCTGAATGAGTCAATAACGAGCCGAAGTGAGCTAAACGCTGTTCGGCTATTCACTTCGGTCCTGTATGGCTGATTTCAGCCGTACAGCAGCTGGCTTCAGCTCCATTCGGTCACCTGAACATGTTCTGCATGTTAGGTTGAGCCGAATTGAAGAAGCTGTTCGACTCAGCTGATCCAACATCTGGATTGGCTGAGCCAGACCTCTGGGAGTTCCCTGCTGGTCGCCCCTATTCTTATATACTTTACTCAGAGGTAGCAAGCAGAATAAATAAAGTATAAACAAAAGAAGAAAAAAATATATAAAAAATTATTGTAAAAAAATGTAAAAGAAAGAAAGAAAAAAAATCAGCATGGGGACCCTTTAGGTCTGGTAGGGATGTTAGGAGGGACCCCAATTAACAAAACATTTTGGGGGTTCCCAAAATTAAAAAATTGAGTAGGGCTCCCCCCCAAATGCATACCAGGCTCTTTAGGTCTGGTAGGAATTTTAAGGGGGAACCCCACCCCCACAAATGGGGAAAAAACATGAGGTCCCCCCTAAAATTCCTAACCAGACCCTTAAACCAAGCACAGGCCTGGCAGGGCAGGAAAGGGGGGGGCAGGGGGCGGGGGA